CCCCATAAAATGGTACTTCCACCCCCACAATCACTAGGGACTCTTCAGATTTCAAAACCTAATGGTAATTACTAAATTTCCTGCAAGTTTCATGAATGGACTAATTTTTATGTTTTCTTAGGTGAGTTTTACCTGTACTATTATGCCTAAGTGATAAATCATCTTAAACATAACACCTTATTTATTCGTATGAGAGGCTGAAAGACCATTAATGCATTACATTAATGAGAAGGTATGGACTTGATTAATAACCTTAGTAATCAAAGTTTTGATTTTGATAGTTTTCAAGAGTCAAACATATTTTCTCAATTGAAGTTTTGAAATTATTTAGGCTGTCCATGACAAAAGTAAATATATTTTCTAATTTTCGGAGTTATTTAGATAATTTTGAATAATATGCCTTACGTAGCTTCATTCTATTACATACAAATACAAATAAATTCTGCTATGAACTACTGGCACTTTTGATTTCCTCTTTAATTTTTTTTAACAATATGTTGCCTACTTGCAACCAGGAGTACAGTACAAAACACACTTTTGTAAAAGAGTGTGAGATAAAAATTTTAATTTAAAACAGTTTTTCGGCTTGACCACATATTACCAACATGTTATTAGGTAGAAATCAAGCAACAGTTAAAATTGATATAATAATTTTATCGTCTGCATGGATCTTACATGAGACCAATGGTTCATAATATACAGTACAAAATGAAACAAATCATAAAATATAATTATATTATCAATGTATATGTACAAATGTAGTTAGCACTATAACATGCCTCAAAATTCACACTATTTTGACGCAATGTAAAACCAAAATGAAGCAGATGGCCTCTCTGACTCAACGATTATTAAATTAAAACTTTGTACAAGAAATAAGCTTAAAATTAGGACAAGGCTTTCCATCGAAGTAGGGGTTTATTGCAGGAATTCTGAATAAACAAACTTAATGTTTCTTTGGAAAGACTAACAAAGTCGATAACAAATTACGGAAAGTGGAAGGCCACTTGCTCAGAGAGGAAGAAGAAGGCACAGGGATACTTGTGTCGAGCGGCTATATGAAGAAGTAACAAGACTAGAATATTGACTGATAAGCTTTGACTGCTGTACAATCAAGGGGCTGACCCCTATAGGAAAAAATATGAATACACAAAGTGCTATGCTTTTATAAAATTATATACCAAGATTATATAGGAGAAAAAATATATGACATAAACAATAAGCCAAAGTAAATATTACAAAATAAAATTATGTGAACATAATTTAGATTTTGGCACATATAAATACTGACTTATCTTACAGTATTTTACTCTAAGGCTAGAAATTTGTTAAGCCACACACACTCATTCAAACAATAACTCCCTGGACCAATTAGAAAATTATTTTAAAAAACACAACTCTTAGTACACTGCTCAGTTTTATATAAAGCAGCTTAAATTTTGCTTGCATATTTATTAAAAAAAACTTACTGACTAGATATTTTTGGAATAAAGGCATCAATGGCTAATATTATTTCAAGTTTATTTTATCTTTAAATTTCTTCTTAAAAATTATGACCGTGTTATTGAATAAGTATATTTTGTTGTGTATACATTTTTACAGTCTCTTATGAATTGCACAATGATTATGGTAGCCTACTGTAGAAATTACAAAAATTTAAGATTTTATCTATTTGCTATAAATAAAATAAATTTGGGGGGGGGGGGGGTGGATATTCAAATTCTATACTATAACACTGTCAGAAAAGATAATTTTTAAGTATGTGTTTCATCAATCAAGGACAGTAAGTAAATAGGTAATTAGCACAATAAAATTATTACTGTATCAGATTTTGAAAAAAAAAACTGACAAGTTTTTATCCCAAAACACATAAATAAGGATATGATTTACAGAACAAAACTAGCAATTCAAAAGTAGATTATATCAACAAGTAACACAAATAACAACTATTTACTTTAAATAAAAATTTACTTAATAATTGGATTTTACAAACCTTAGTTTTTTGGAACAATACCCTAATTATATTAGAAAAGTAGCCCTCAGAAAAATTGTATGCCAACACAGCTTATTTCAGACATTTTTTACATTTATATTATTTTAAGAGTTTGAAATACAGTATTGCAATTGCATATTTTTATAGCAAAGGTAGGTAGCGTAATAATAATTTTTGTAATGATGATGAAATTACAATTTGTAATATTTTATGGAGTTTTAAACTAACTTATTGGAAATCTGTAGAAGCTGTCAAAGAAAAGCTGGTTTGTAACATGGGGAGGCTTGGCATCATTATTTTAAAACAATCATCATAATTAATTGTATGCTAATACATATTTTGTAAGGCTCGACTTTATTTAACATTCAAAGATGCAAGCAGATTAAAATATACTTCAATTTAGTTGTTGTTTACCACACTTAAAATTACTTTGTTAGAGCCAAATTGAATAAAAAGACATTAGTTAATCACTCCGATGGATATAAATTGAATTTCTGTAATATTATTAGTGTCTATAGAGTTTTATCCATTTCAAGGGTACAAAATTAGTTATTGGTCTTTCCTAATACTAATAATGACTTTTTAGCAAATTTCCCATATAGGAAGCTATTACCGTAGTACTCATGGTAATACCTGGATCCAGGGCCAATTTAATTTTGTTTTGAGATCCCTAGAGGCCAAAAACACCATCCGTTCAAATTCATATATATATATATATATATATATGTCCGTTAGCGCGATAACTCAAGCAAAGATATTCAGATTTTGATGAAATTTGGTACAAACGTGTTAACCTACATTTATTCTAATGAGTTTGCGAACGAGCATAATCGTACCATGGGAATGGGGGTTTATGGGGTAAAACTGGGGTTTTCCAATTTTTGACCCTAAAAACAAAAAAAATTGCAATTTCTTTCTAAACCGTTTTGTAGAGCTTACAAAAAAGTAATATGGTATATTGAAGCGCTGTTGTATGCCTAACGGTCATAGAGAAAATTCAAAAATAGTGTAATTTAAAATTACCATGTTTTTCTTATGGAGAATGAAAACTGTTGTAGTTTACTTGTTTATGGATATATTAATAACATTTGGCAAATTTATTTATTTCATCCTATACTGTTGACGTATGGTCAAAAACACTTTTTACCTTCCTTGTAGCAGCAAACCTAAGCCCTCGTTAAATCTAAAGTTATTTAAATTGGGAATAAATATGTCTTATTTATGGAAATATTTTAGTAAAAATTTAATCAGACAAGTTGAAATTCGCTTAGTCTGCAGGTTTGCTGCGGCGGGGGTATTTCTTATTGGGAAGGTTTACTTAGGTAAGATATTCCCAAATGTTAATAAGCACAACATTGCTTCCTACAAAAAATCATAGTCTTCCAATCATGGAATAACCAATACAGGGTAATCTTTTTTATAGAATACAAATAAAGGTTTAATATAAAATAATTGATTTTAATAAAGGTATATGACATATAATGGTGATTCTTATCATTGGCTCTACTATTTGATATGAAACAATGGAGCTTTACAAAGATTTATATACTTTTTGGTTGATAACATCTTCACTTACAATTAATTACATGATTTCAAAGCTGTAAAAAATATTTTTTTTCCAGATTCCAAAAAAATTTAAAAAAACACCAAAAGATCCTGATACAACTTAAGTTGTCATTTTTTGTCATAGACTCACAAATTAGAGATATTAAATAAAACACAATAGACTGCCAGGTCCAGCTATATATAAAAAATAAACACTACTAAATTTCAACAATACAATTGAAATGGTCTACATTTTTGAAACTAGTCATACAACCATCTAACTTATGAGCTTTTGTTAATTAATATTCTCATTGACTTTTACCAAAGTCAAATCCTTATTGCCCAAAAATACATAAAGAATTACAGACCTCGGTAAAATTAATAATTTAGAACTAACAATATTAATATAGGAATCTTAGGTTATAGCAAACCTAGATAACAATATGAATTTTATTTTTAAGGTTATGTTCATTGTGCAGTAATCATTGTTAAGTAATCATTTGTATTGCTAAACAACAAAACCAGCTGGTTTCAACAATAAAAATAATTGAAATAAACAAAAAAAAAAAAACACCAGTGTGTATAGTTGAAAAATTGGGAACTGATTGAGAACAGGGGAAAATCAGCTGATAGCATTTCACTTTCGGGGGAAACAATTACTTAATTTCTTTGATATCAGCTGTTATTGAAAATAGCTAGTCTCTGTATTGAGTAATAAAAAAATGTTCTACAGAGATGTTTTGCTGTAGGCTTAGCTAAATAAATGGAATGTGTATTTCACTTAAGTCTTACACAAAAGCAATCATGGAACTGAGTCTAAACAGAAAGGCCCATTTCCCAGTACAAATGGGCAAAAATGAATCAAAGAAAAAACAGTTTAATATGATATTCTTATTTAAACCACCAGGTAGAGCTTAAAAAACAAATAATTTTGTATATGGAACATTGGGGAGCAATGGAAAATTCAAATGTGATTTTATGGAGAATAAGCAAAACAGTAAGTAGTTTGCTTGTTTATGAACATATTTTGATCAAATTATTTCATACTAAACTATTAGTATTTTAATAAAAAAAACCCTCTTAATAACATTTAATTACCTTCCCTGTAGCAGCAAACCAAAGTACTTGTTAAAATGCTATTTAATTAGGGAATCAATCTGACATCAACGGAAATTAGCTCAGTCTGCAGGTTTGCTATGGCGGTGGTATTTATAATACCACTGTTCTGAAAACTAATTTAGTGAAATCTTCCAAAAAAGTAAGGTTATTCAGTTAAGAAAGATAAGTAAAAAATTTTTGCGGTTGTTAACTAGTCATGTTTTAGAATAATTGTTTCATAAGCTAGTCTTTATATTTTAAAATCAAAATGCGATAACATTAGATCTAAACTCTCAAATATCAAATTTGAAATTAGTAAGGTTAATTATTATTTTTGAAAAAAAAAAAAATAAAAAAGTACATTTGATATGAGACTTTTAGTAGCATTATGCAATATGTAACAGAATCAATATTCGTTATGCTATAACTGGAAAAAAAATCAATCTAGGTTGTTCACCATCCTTCTATTTACACAGTTCCTAAATTAATACATATAGGCATAAGCTTTGATAAATTGAGTTTTTTAGGCATGTTAACATGGTAATACTGTAATGATTTATTTCTCCTTTTAGAAGTACTCTATTGTTTAGGATATGTTGACACCTTGTCGAAATAAAAATAGAAACTTGTTGAGACCTTCAAATAGAAAAACGAAGTGTAAAAAGAAAACATATACAATCATAACCTTATAACAGATTTAACAACAAGAAAAGTGGAAAAATAAATTAATAAATTACATAAGTAAATGTAGATAAACATTAACATTAGGTACTAACAATGAAAATGTACAGAGTATATTGTTTACACTCGATATTAATAACCATTAATATACAAATAGGGCAAATGGTAACAAAAGGTCTTCATATGCCATAAAAACAAAACACAACAAATGGCCTTCTATAAAACTCAATATACATAAGAATTTCTTTGTTAAAAATACTGTTTAAATAGATGTTGGACTAAGAGAAACAGGTAATTTCAATGATGTAGATGGCCAGTTTTTAACAAATATTACTCAATTAAGATGAGTCAGCCCAATATTTCCAAAGATAATTTGTTGCTTCTTCATATGCCAATATACAACTTACGGTCATAATATACAAAAAAACCAATGCACTTTAAAATTCCCCACCCTTCCTTAAACACACAATCAACAACACTTTTCAACAAATTTTGTGGAACACGATCACATAATAACAACATTTTATTAGTCAATTACACAGTAAGGCAGTATATGTAATAATTCGCCATTGTAAGACGTTCTAGATACAACTTCGTGCCATTCACTAAAGCCTTCATCACCTTTACTAGTTTTTAGGCCAGAATGGTCTGCACAACCGTTTAAACACTCTATTTGTTCGGTATGTAGTCTGAGAACGTCTGCTTCAGTTACCGAACACGGAGGAGGGGGAGAGGAGGGGGGACTCTGGCACTCGTCCCACTGGATAGCTTCCGGGTCCAACGGAGGTAACCTAGATAAAATCTCCTCAACGGTCCGCTCGATAGACTCCTCAGGCGCGGGAGACGGAGGCACTGTCGAAGAGGCACGGGAGGATTGTGCGGGACCGACAGTTGAGTGGGAAGGAAGTGACTCTGTACCAGGCCTCAGTTCTTCTTGTTTAATAACATCTATGGAATCGTCGTTAACTACCTCGGATTGCGATCTGAGGAACTTGGCGATGTGCTCGGTTTTATTCCGAGTCAGCTCATCCCCACCTGGCAGCACACAGTTCTCTGGTCGGTTTTCCACAAGTAACGTTCCGTCAGTCTTTGACTTGAGGTCAGCGAGTAACTCCTGGGTAGTTTTCACTCTAGGAGTCCTTGCGATTGAAGCTATTTTTTCCTTAACTATATCATCACTAGAAGCTTGACTAATTTCCTTCCCTAAGTGGTTTTTGGAACCCTTTTTACGACCTTTCTTTTTATCGCTGAGCGGTCGATCGTTAGTTTTCGTCACCACAGAAATGATTTCACAGCCGTCCGAAGCTCGGTCACTAGAATCGCGACTACATTCCCCGATGTCCGGCCTGAACGCCGAACCGTTGAGTCTAGGCATTTTGGCAGGAGGTTTTTCACTCGGAGAAGTGTCTTTTCGCAGACGCTTGTTGGATGCGTGTGTTTTAGGCACTGCTTCGCCCCGGCTAGGTTGTGAGAGGGCAGGACTGGTAGTGGTGCTGGGGATGGACACTGCTGGTGATATAACGCCTGGCCTTGGCTGGGTGGAGCTACTGGGAGGTCTACTACTACTGTTGGAGGAGGCTGGTAGTCTTGCCGACCCATTATGCTGAGGCGTCGTTTCCGCTTGTGGCAGAATCATGTCACGCCATCTCCGCACCAAATCTTTGGCTCTTTTGGCCAAAGCATCGTTTTTTGTTTTTCTACGAAGCTCATTGATGTATTTCCCCAACCTTGTAGTCTGAAAACATAACAATTAGTTACATTATGATATTACAAGTAAGTAATTTAACATAGAACAATTTGGAATGTTTTTTAGGTTTACATTTTTGAAATACCGGTACAATAAGTTACAGCTTAAATTTAGGCTCCTTCTGAAGTAAAACATAATGAATTATTTTCCTTGCTGTTTTTGAATTTTATTTTATTCAAAGAACTACTTTACATATTGAAAATGTTAAGTAAAAATAATACTTCCTTACAACATTAAGAAAAACAAGTGGCAATTGATAAAAAATATCAATTTGAAGTAGCTTTGAATTTATTACCCTTAGTTAATGTTATTGCAAAACCTCAACAACAAGTCACCTTGTCTTGTTTTCTAACTACCACAAAACTTAAGGTTCCAAAGTAAAATATTTAGTTAGGCTAATATTTTTACCAACTTATCTTTAAACAAGAAAAAAGTCCTTTGGGAAAAACACAAGCTTGGAATACAACAGATAGATGCAGGGTTCACTCGAGTGACACATCTAGCTGACTGACATTGACTAGCATTCCTAGCGACCCGGCGACACACCAGTTCACACGAGCGACGAGTCCACCGACTAGATTGCAAGCGCGACGTAAATGAATGTGCATCGATAAACAAAGTTTTTGATAAGTCAATGTTTTTGTTATCAATATTTGATGTTTTTTGCAGTGATCGTAAGTTAAAGATGTTTTTGTAGCATTGATGTCTTGGACAGTAACGATGCTTACTATTATGAAATTTAGAACATTGCTTATATTCTTTCAATCAACAACGATCAAATCAATAAGTCTGAGTACAAAACACGACAAACTTCCTTCCTTGCATTGTCTTCTTAATTTTATCATGCTATTCCCAAAGACAAGTGTTCCGAGGACACGGGCGTTGCTTCACCGATTCAATAAAAATATCAACATCCACTCGGAACTATCACTGGCGTACAAAGAAAACAAAGGTAAACATGCAAGGTGCAGAGCGACGATTGAACGCTCCCATTTGGCTACGTGTACTGCTATGCCGCGATTAGTCGCGACACTGGGCTAGGGAACGGGGCCTGGCGATGGTTTGCGACAGCAAGCTCGATCGCCGTCGTTTTACGCTCGTGTGAACGGCTCCATTTGATCTTTGGTCTGCTACCTAGTCCTGCTTACCTAGTTACAGACTAGTCAGCTAGATAAGTCGCTCGTGTGAACAGTGTCTAAAAAAACACACAAACAATAACAAAATGAAGTTGTGATTAACCCAAAAGTTATAGGTGGTGGATATCGATATATTTTGTCTGTAAATATTTTGTCTATCTGTGAAATATTTTGTCACTCGGTCCCTATCATGGGCACAGGGGGAGGTGGGTGGAACTACTCCATCTCAGAGCTAGCAAGCACTCTTTCTTCCCAGCTTAAATGTGGGCTGTCTGAGAAGCCCATGCTGCTTATTTACCTGTGCAATCTACAAGTTTAATTTTGTTACATCTGTGGAAATAATCTTAATTTAGGTGGCGCCTGCCAATACATAATAAAACGGTAATGGCTGGTTAATTAACGGTAATGGTAATTTATATTTCTTAGAAACATAATACTAAATTTTGACCAACTTGATGAGTCTGTTGTATGTCCAGTTCAATTGTTTTATCTGACTATAGATCTACTGATAAACATTTTGATAGTAGGCTAGTTGTTAGTACAACAGACTTTTAAACTATGCCCAGTGATTTGAAAATTGTGGCAATTAGTTTAATTTTGTGAAAATATGAGTAGGTATTATAGTACCGGTCCCATGTTAGGCAATTATGAATTAAATTATGGTAAAAAATGTACATCTTCCCGTTGCGAAGCATGGGTACAGCAGCTAGAAAAATATTCAAGTAATGCAATGTAGTTCATCGGACATGTTTTCTTGTTTTTTTTTTTTTTTTCAATGAAACTCCTCTGAGCTTATGTCATGCACAAAAGTAAAAACTTAAATCTCCAGCCAAGAGCGAGTTTAAATCTGAAACCAACATTGATATCTTTGCTAAGAACTTATATTCCAACTACATTTGACAATTTAGTCTCATCACAGTAGCCGAAAGCAAACTCGCTCTACCTCTCATACAAATTGTCTATGTGCAATCACTTAGCTCCATTTAATTTGTCAACTGATGTTAAACTTCCAATAGCGGATGACACCTTATAACATGTATCTATTATATTATTAAAGTGATACAATAAAATTTTATGTAAACGGTTAAGGTCATTTACCAAATAAAAATATAGGCATATGGCATATCAAAATGAAGCTTAGAAATTGTAGATTTGCCGAAAAGTATTGATATGGACGATCTCCCTTAGGGCTGTGCCCCGCAGGCTGATTTCCAAAGGGCTACGCCTTGCGTGTTTTGGAAGTTAACGTCATTCGATTAATTTAGTGAACAACAGCTGGCCAATGCAATTGACAATATAGTTTGTTTGTTTACATTTTTGTCTTTACTTATTTTATTATTTACTTTTATGTTCTTAAAAGAAGTGCGGTGAATGGACAGTGAAGCTATTTCTAGCGGTTTGATACAAGTGAGTGATTAAAGGTGTCCGATACACGATGAATATGAGATTAACATTTAAACCGTGTATGTTGTTCGTTCCAAGAGGTTGTCACCGATCTTTAACAGGTCGCCATTGGGTCATCATTGAAAGTAAAGTATTAAAGACGTCGTGAAAGAGAGAAGCGAGTTCCAAGGTACAACCGTACCCACCTTGGCCACCTCAGGACGTAACGTTTGAAGGTTCCACTGCTTTTAACATCCTTTCAGATGACAATTTTTTCGAACTTGGGCCCTCTACATGAAATATTAAGTCAAAGTTGATTAAATTAATTTAATGGTGGCTTCTGTACACCCGTGAATTCGCGGGTAGAACCTGTTATATCTAATTAATGTAGGAGCATAGATTTTCCTCCTTCATCGCTTTCTACTACTATAACTAGACTAATTGATGTCACATAGGGGTGGAATCCAGGTAGAATAGTAGTGGATAATGCAAAAACACAACGTTGGCCACGGGAGCTCAATAAAAACCTTGATTCATGGATAACCCTTGTATTAGGACCGGTTTTGTGAACAAGTTTTGCATTTCTTTAAATGTAATTGTTTATGTACAGAATATCATCATACCATAAAATAACAAGACATTCTTCAACAATTTATACCTAATGGATTAAACAACTCAAATATTGACCATAGACCTACACTCCTATTTAAAATGCTATGTTTTTGCCAGTTTTAGGATAAAAGCGAGCAGGTAATTGAATTGAGCCATTGACAGAGTTTGCTGAGGTAATTATAAGGGATTTCAAAATTCTGGTAGAGCAAAAACTGGCTACAGCTAGCTCATACTGGTGTCTACTTCAGTATACCTACCAAGTTAATAGCGAATATTAGGAATAATCTTGATTAGGTATTTTACACTCAAATTTCAAACTTTTCAATGGGAATTACTCGTCTAACAACTGACCTCGAGTGCTTCTTTTGTGATAGGTGTCCTCTCCAGCAGAGACACAATCTCCAGCACTGTGGCCATGTCCACAACCTGATTGCGACACAAACAAAATTAGGCTATAGCATAATAATACTATGTTAGGCCACCTTAAATGTTGGTTTAGTAGTAATATTCTATAAAATCCAAAGGTAAAACTTCAGGGATCAATAGCGAATCTGTAATCACCTCGTTAAATCAAGAAATTCTTCCCATCCAGCTAAAAATTTGTTCAGCCTGAATTGAAATAATACTACGGTAACATTGCAAATTGGTTTTACCTTGAATTTATCTATCTATATATTAATAGGCAAGCATGTTTCTTTAAAACCCTTTTTCTCAGCTCGTGTGCATCGCAGGGGAAATCTATGCATACTGTTAGAAAGATATTTGCCTGTAGATGTGCAGAATCCCTTTATAAATTAAAGTAGGCTAAAAAATAAGTACAAAAAACGAATTTGAAAACCTCAAAAAATTTACATGGAACAACTGGGTTGCCATGATGGTGACGAAATAACAACCAAATGTAAACAGAAAATCAAAACAAATGGAAGAAATCCCAATCACATGTTTTATTTACAGTGTGGGGAGAAAATAGAGAAGTCTGTACATTAATTATTTTTGGTCGAGTTTCGACCACAGGACGACCACTAGTATAAATTAACAGATGAACAGAGTTAATCAATATCTTTCCATACACAAAAATACAGAACAAAAAGAAAAAAAAAAACTATTGTTAAGTTTACAGAGCTATAAACACTAAATCAGTGAGATTTTTGATAGAGCAGGCATTAAGTTAATCCTTATTTCATAATTCCATAGTAGTTCTCTCATCAATCCTATGCTCATTGTCTCCATGAGTGGGATGTCACGGAATCAATAAATTAGGCCCTGAACACATGAGAGCGGTAGCCGCCGCGGTTGCTATTGCACGGGAACTGCAGCCGTTCAAAGTACTAAGGAGAAAATGGGACTGGTCACATGCAACCGCCCACTTTCAATCAACCGCAACAGTTGTAGATTTCCTTTCAACTGCCGGGGCTCCCGTGCGGTTGGAGTTACTAGAGTTGGCATGAGAGCGGTAGCTGTCACGGTTGACTGCGGTTGCTACTAGGATCACAGACATCTGCGCGGTCACCCTTTGGACATCACTCTCAAAGTGTTGGTGTGGTGTGCAGCTGTAGCTGTAGTTGATGTGCTTGTAGTGTAATTTTACAATGACCATGCAAGTATTATTATTTCTCTAACATCCTGAGTTCTTTGACATTTACAACTATAATATATGCACAAATGAATCCAATCCAATCTTACAATTCTACAACTATAGGATTTGTGTTTAAAAGATAACCTTTTCCAGTCGGTGACAACAACCATAAAATAATAAATAAAATTGTTTTTACATTTATTTACTTTAGTTATGAGTTATCATCTTTGTAGTACAGTAGACTCCCTCTTATGCGGACTCCTTGGCACCGAGGCCAGTCCGGATAATGGGTTTTCTGGTTAAACTGACGTCCCCAAAAACTCGTTGAAACGGACCGTTTACTTTGATATTTGACTTAAATTTAGGAGAGCATTGTACATATTTAGACACGTGATCACTGGTCTCAAATCTTTCCTGCGAGAACAGTCGTTTCAGTACCGCCCACTTCCTGCCGATCTAGTCCGTCTAAACCAATGTGCTGATAAAAAATGTTCCACGAAGTGTTGTCCGGTTAAACTGACATCCGGTTATAAGGTGTCCGGATAAGAGGGAGTCTACTGTAGGCCTACAATTTATTTAAGAAGGACAATGTGAAAATCTTTTTCATTTTCAAGGTGTTGTCATATTTTTTTTACTATCACTACCAAATACCTATATAACAATCAATCAATCAATCAATCGAGTCAAATATGTTATATATATAACATATTTTTCATGGACTAGTTATTATATGTGTACGCTCATCTCCCAGTATCATCTAGGTTATTTTTAATTAGAAGTTAGGTAGGCCTGCTTAGGCCTATTTTTCAACGACATGCTTCTAAGTTTATAGTTACTTTTAAGTTATGAATGTTTTTGAAAACGGGTTCAAAATAGAAAAACTTAGTTACGATATAGCAATGGCATAAATTGCACAGCGTCAGTGTCTAGAAAAGGAATCAGTTCAAGGCTGGTGATGAACATTTCAAAATCAGTCAAAGTACAGTAGACTCCCTCTAGTTCGGCTTCGGTTGGATCGGCCGCCGGATGGTCCGGCCAGGTCTTAGGGGGACAAGTCATATGGTCACGGGCGTTTGATTTTCGACAGAATTCAACTTGAATGTTTAATTTCCGGCCATAGAAGTAAACAATTCATGTCAGTTTGGTTGACGGGTGCTTATATAGGTGAATTGTTGCATATTACCCATGGTAAACTATGTAAGGCTGACATAACCTCAAAAATACCAAGAACATTTTATAGGCCCTACTGTAAATAGTTTTTCTTCAGTCTAATATGTTGAAATGCAGTGTATGATTAAATATTTCGGACCATTTTTTATGTGGTAGGTTCCCCCATTATTGTGTTTGAAACACCACGGTTTATTTGACAAAAATAAATTAAATCAAAACAAAGAAATGAAATAGCCATCGTTAGCTTCAAGGTCAAACTATCCGCTTGCACTGACTGACTATCATCTGCTCTTAACACGTTTACACAACTATGATGTCTGCTGTGCGCTTGCTATCTCACAACAGTTTGTGATTGGGTGATAGTAACCATGGCAACTTGTTGAATGTGTGGATGAAGAGAAACCAAAGAAAGAATACAAGAACAAAGAAGAAAGAATAAGCGGTGTTTTACGTCATCCATTGTTATGTTTATCCTATTTTACGACTGTCGTTATTATCTTTAAGACTAATTACTATGATTTTATGCTGTTTTATGAGTTATCTAATGTTTTTATCGACATTCTTATGTTCTGAAATAACATGTAGTAGTAGCCTATGCTGACTACGTTAGCAGTAGCTTGCAGTACTAAACTTTCTATTGTTCTGTTCTTTACGTGATTTATTGTACGTACAGTGTTGTGTAATTTCTGTTTTGCTTGAGTAAGCGTTATTTTAAATGTTACAGGTTTCATTACTAAACCAAGGTTAATGACTTAACATATCACGATTACGCAATACTATTATTTGTATTTTGATTATGTAAAATGCTCTACATCCGGTTAGTCCGGCCGTTTTGTAGTCCGGCCAGTGGTCCGGTCCCGAGGGGGCGGAACTAGAGGGAGTCTACTGTAGTGTAAGTTTAAACTTACTGTGATAATAACTGACAATTAATTAAAAAAGTTAAGTGCTTTCAACCCAACCCAACCCTCTTAACTTACCAAGTTTATCTGTCGTGAAGACAGAGGTCAGAAATCAACTGTCAATTTAATTATTTTAAATAAGTAGGCTAGCTTTAACTTTAACTTAAGTTATTTTACACAGCTGTAGATTTAATGATGACAGTAATGATGATAGTAATAAAACAATGTAACTTAAGTTTAAATTCAAAACAACAAGTAGACTTCCTGGTCCAAAAACCTAGAAAGCTTTTAAATAGGGTTGCCATATGGTAGGTATGGCCACTGATGGAATACCAGTAACACAATTAACGGGCTAGCAAAATTGAATCCCCAACTAACTTACATCTCACTAAAAACAACGAATAACGTAAACAAAACGTTCTCTGCTAACTTAAACGCAGTTCAGCTTCATTGGTGACAAAACTCTGATTTCTTTGGGCTGGCCGGAAAACGTAAATTGAAGAAGTGGGAACAATGAAATAAGATGATAAAATTAGGGCATTGCTAGCCAAAGTGAAAGCAGGAATAAAAAACGTTAGAAGGTCTAGAGAGTACAAGAGTTGTATTTTTCTAGCTTACGTAACGATATTTACGAATGCAGACATTTAACTTATTTTACCCAAGTGCCGTTAATTAAATTGTTTTAAGTGGATAAGTTAACTTAGCCTTAGTAAAAAAAGGAGATAGGTTTTAAGCCTATACCAACAAGATAAGAGGAGGCCTTACCCACAGTTGTAGGCTAGGCCTACTCACTTTTTGCCACCGGAGGGAGCTAAATTTTGAATAAAAAATCCAGGAATCTTTTAACCACCTAATTTCCACCTTTAACCAACTGAAAATTTAAGTTAGTTACATTAGACTCCCTCCTATCCGGACTCCTTGGGACCAAGGCCAGTCCGGATAACGGTTTTTTCTGGTTAAAATGATGTCCCCAAAAACTTGTTAGGTACAACCGTTAACTGTGATATTCGACTTAAATTTAGAAGAGCATTGTGTTTAGACACGTGATCACTGGTCTCAAATCTTTCCCACAAGAAGAGTCGTTTCAGTAGCACCCACTTCCAGCCGATCTAGTCCAGTTAAACCAATGTGCTGAAAAAAATTATCCGGTTAAGAGATGCCAATTACGCCGAGTGTAGTCCGGTTAAACCGATGTCCGGCTAAAAGGTGTCCGGATAAGAGGGAGTCTACTGTACTTCATTTTGTTTCCTTGGCATTTACTGGGAGGCTAAAACTTTAGTAGCCTATGTTAGCCTATGTCTATTTCGATACTGCTCAAATCAAATTGGATTTACTTACTGCATGTCATTGCCAAAAATTATTTTGTATGTATATGTTTAAGTTGGATTAGGTCATCTATAAAACACATTGTAAATTGGTTCTTGACCGTTGGAAGGTAAAATAAATAAATAAATAGCCTAACTTAGTGCCTATTTAACTTAAGCCCTGATCCAAAAAAAGTTAGGCCTAACTTACTTAAATTAAGTTAATGGTCTTTATCTTACAAGAGTGAAAAATGTAATGATGATTAAAGTTAACTGTAAGTTGGCCTAGCCTAACTTAGGCTACTTTCATATGATAAACTGGTACATTCCTGTTAAAGGGAACATTCATTATTATCGATGATTTTTTTCTCGATATATCAATATTAACAAATTGAAACATATCAGCTGACAACTACGATAAATATTGTTCAGTATCAACAAACAATAATGAAATCAAACTGTTCTAAAGAAATAACCTAACATTACTAACCAAACTTGCTAGGTAACATTCCATGTTCAACTTGCCTTTTCTGTTATCAAAAGTAATTTTTAAATAGTACAGCAAGTTTGGTTGGTTATTTTAGGTTAGCTTAGAACAGTTTCATTTCTTAATCCATAATAGACTATTTTAGCCTAAACAAGATCAGTTGTCAATATGTAATGGATCGGTAAACAAAAATATCGATAATAATGAATGTTCCCTTTAACAGGAAAGTACCCTCCGAGTGTTAAGCGTCGCGTAATCGACGCACAAACATCGTTTACAGCGAAGGCTCTGGGACTGACTGAATCAGATTGAACTGGATCCAGATTGGTAGACTATCGTTGTTTTCGGCAGATTCTAAGCTTTCCCCTGATGTCTGTTTCTAGACTCTTTTCATTTTAGTTCCGAAAATATTGTAGCAGACAGATGACGTGCGTATTTGTAAACAACTTGGTTAACCTCACACCAATGAATGATGTGTTTTATTACGTTTATCATTGTTTTAGTGTTAAAAATAAAGAGTAGTGATATACATGGTGCATTATAAGAACATTTAAGTGATTTTGAAGGGCTGGTTTATGCTCCTGAAGAAGTATGTAGTGATATTGATGTAAATAATCTGCCAGATTCCTAGCTATGGTTATGCTATGCATTCTTAGCTATCGCTAAATGTACAAGATCTGTTTTTCACCCATAACTTATTTATTTGCAAACCTACTTCACCTTATATTATTATATTTTTGGAATCCTCATAAAATTTAGAACAAAGTGGCTATTTTGAAATATTTGTAGACCTAACTTATAATTATTTTAAATTTATTGAGCATTAACATACATTTTTTTCATTTCTTTTATAATTTTTGAGATATTTTAACCCCACAAAAATTGTTGAAATTTTTTTTTGTGATGTTTTATATATTACATTAAAGCCCTTAGTTTTTCAAACAAAATTATATATAAAACAGTATATTTTAGAGTGTTTTTAAGTTTCTAAGATACATTTTAATAAAACCCTGCGATTGTGCAATAAATGGGCGGACATTAAGACCATTACCATGGACACTTGGAGGGTTACAGGACCCTTTTAACTTCATATGTTGTTTTTAAGGTTAACTTGGCGCCTCGAACTTCAGTGAGAAGAAACTTACAGGTTTGATTTTGGCCACATCCACAAAACACAACTTGAGTTATGGGTTTGGACCGTTTGCTCTAATAGCGTAGGCCCTAACTTACGTACACTGTACAATAAACTTGAAATCTCCTATGAAAATGCAGCAGGCCTAAGTTAACTTAATATCTTAACTTAGACAATAGGCTACATAAGTAGCCTAAGTATGTAACTTAACTTACATTAAGTAAATCGGTAATTTATTTATTTAATAAGAGGTAATCTATTACAATTTTTAAGTTAGACGTAAAATAAGCTTTAATTAGCCCAAAATGTAAACTCAATATTTCATTGAGAAAAAGTATAGGCCTAGGCTAAGTGAACTGTAAGTAAGTTACGCAGGCCTAGCCTAAGAACTGAAACTTGTGATTTATTTTCTTATAGGCACATGCATAGATAATATAGCAACATCAATATATCCAGATAGAGTAAAATCTGTGTTCGTTAAACCAACGGTAGTTTCTGATCATCATTCGGTGGTTGGTTTATTTAGTCTACAAAAAAAAGATTGTGTTACCAGTAAATCAAATGTTTCTAGTTCCTATAGAATAATACGTCCAATAGATGATATTAATGTGAGATATTTCATCTCCTTACTAAGTAAAGTTAATTGGTTAAAGCTTTATACCTTAAGTACTGTTAATGATAAGTTTGAATATTTTTTAAATGTTTTTCTTAATATTGTAGATATTGTTTTTCCTGTTAAATATGTGAAAGGTGGTAAAAATATTAAATGTCGGCCTAGATGGTATTCTCAGAATTTATTAGATCTTAAAGAAAATTGTCTGTTTATGTATAGTATATATAAGGAAACTGGTTTAGATCAATACAGAGAGTCTTATAAAATTCTGAAATCAAGATACAGAAATGAATGTGCAGAAGCAAAGCGAGCCTATAACTGTAATAGAGTACTTCAAGCTAACAATAAACCTAAAGCTATATGGTCTGTCATTAAAGAAAATTTAAATGTAAATGATAAAGGATCAGATGATCTACAAACAACAAAACTGTCAAGTGATAGTTTTAATAAATTCTTTCTAAGTACCTAATGTGAGTTCTATTAAGCATAGCATACCTAGTTCTAAACATGATGTGTCTTTTTATCTTGATAAGCTGAGTTACCAGAGATCCTGTGATATTTCATCTGTTTTTTCTATTAGTAATGTAAGTGTAGAGGAAGTATACAGCGCAATTTTTTCACTTAGTAATAGTATTAGTTTGGATGTTTATAATATTAATTCATTGATTGTTAAACATGCTGCTCCATTTATCGTTGAGGTTTTGGCCTATTTGTATAACCAGTGTATTGATAATTGTGTATTTCCTATCCATCTCAAATTGTCTAAAGTTGTACCTTTGTTTAAGAAGGGTGTGAAAACAGATTATGCTAATTATCGCCCAGTGTCAATAATTCCTGTTTTTTCTAAAATATTTGAAGTTTTGTTAAATAGTAAAATAATTAAGTATTTTGAAACAAATTCATTGTTCTCAGATGATCAGTTTGGTTTTAGGCCTAACAGGGGCACCAGTAATGCTATTGTTAGTTTTATGAAACACTGTGTCAACGGCTTAGATGCTAAAAACAAAGTATTAGGTAGCTGGTTTGATATGTCCAAAGCTTTTGATACCATCTCACATGATATATTGTTAAAAAAGTTGAAATATTATGGTTTTGATCAGACATCTTTGGATTTTTTGCAATCATATTTAATGGACCGATATCAATCTGTGTATTATAATGGATGCTTCTCTTCATATCTCTCTGTTCATTCAGGCATACCTCAAGGATCAATTCTAGGACCTACTATGTTTATTGTTTATATAAATGATTTAACTACTGCATTAAGTAATGATAATATTAAATCGTATATGTATGCTGATGATTTAGCTGTCCTGATAAATTGTAAATGTTCTTCCTTAATTAAAAATCTTCTACATACTACTAACTCTGTAATCGAGGACTGGACTGCTGCCAATTCATTGTGTATAAACAGTAGCAAAACACAGAATATTGAATTTAGTTTATCAAGTACCTGTTCAGATAGTGTTAAGTTTTTGGGAGTATTAGTACAGCCTAACATTAAGTGGGATTCTCAGAGTGATATGATTTGTAAAAAAGTTGCCAAGGGTACATTTATGATTAGAAAACTTAGACCTTTTGTTAGTATGGATGTGTTGAAATCCATTTATTTTGCTCACATTCAAAGTCATTTGTCTTATAGTATTGTTGTGTGGGGCCATTCTGGTAGTATTAAAAAGCTGAAACTGTTGCAAAAGAAAGCTGTTAGGGCAATATTCAATGTTGACAGTGAAACACATTGTAAGCCATTATTCAAGAAACTTGGAATTTTAACTGTCACTTCTCTGTACATTTTAGATTGTTTACTGTATGTTAAAAATAATATTAGAGATTTCCCTACAAATGATTCAGTTCATAACCATTTTACCAGACAAAACACTTTTCTCCGTCCAAACCAATGTAATTTTATGACCACAATTAATAACTTTAGTGAATTTGGCAAAAGATTGTATAATATGTTACCTGCTCACATTAAATGTCTTGAAATACGACAATTTAAATTTACTATTAGAAAGATTTTGTGTGATTTATGTGTGTATAAGGTCAAAGAATTTGTAGAACATATTAAGTAGGTTAATGCATATACTGTGATGTAATTGTATGACGTTGCTATACATGTATTTTAGTGTTGATGGCAATAAATGGATTTGATTTTGATTTTGATTTTGAGGCCTACACATGAGTTAAGTGGGTCTAGGGCTTAGGTTAAGTTAACTTACTTCACTAACTTTATTTTTGATCATGTTTAACACACTACAACAAACTTCTTTGTGTCTAAAAATCCTTAAAAATTAGGACTTTTTTACAAACTTTTAAGGATTATTATTAATGTAACTTAACTTAACTAAGGACCGCGTGGGACTGTTACGGAAGACTTGCGGAAAGGCACTTAAGGTACCATTTTAAACTTAAGTTTACCTGGTTTAGACCATAGGCCCTATCAGTAACTTAACCTTGTCAAATCAAAAAGTCAGAATGAATAAAAGCACAAGTAATTTAGGCTAGGCCCCTAGGCCAAGGCCTACATTTGTCTTGAAGTTCACATTATTAGGCAATTAATTAGGGCCCTAAATTCTCGTTAAAAATATGGATAGCCTAGTCCAGCTTATAAGTTAAGGCATTTCTGATTAACTTAAGTAGATATCTTTAATTAAACTTATGTGGTTCTGTTGGATACAGGGTGATTTGTGTTAGCTACAATTTATAAGTTTATGGACAGATTAGTCGAGGCCTAAGCCTATTTCTCATTAGAATATTTGGCTAGGTAGGGCCTATAACTATAATACGACCAGTAGGAAAATAATCTAAATAAAATAAATTACTAAGTATGAGCAAATTTTTAATCATTACGAAGAGTTAAGGAGGCTAGGTGAGGAGTAAATGTAAAATACAAAATTTGGCAATATAATAAGTATCATGGGTCGACTCCCGACCGGAACTGTTGCAAAGACCAGTGCGCAAGCGCAGTGCCGCGTATGAGAGGCTGCGAGGTGGGCCAAGGGTAGGCAGCACTTTCTATAGCTCCGTACAATAGCCTTAAATACACAAATTTTAACACTTCTCCGTTTGGGTGATGAAAAACTTGATTACCAACTACTCTCATGATATTGCAGGTAACTTTTGTAGGGATTTTAGGTCAAATAATGGCATATATTTCTTGTTTAAACACTAAATATAACACCTTAAACAACACGTACACGCCACTCACGAGTGTTTCTACGTAGTCACAATTTCATTCCTAAAAACCTGTAACCGTGTGATTTATAAGCATTATCAAACCTTACATTGTATTCCCTGTCGAGTGCCTTCAGTAACTTTTCCTTAATCTCTGGAGGAGATTGCTGCATGAGGCCGTAATTGGTCTCGAAGGTAACAGCTCCCCAACCGACATACAGCCACCCAACACTTATGGCGGACATGTACTATTGAGGAATTCTGGGAGCATAATAACTGCTAGACCTGTTACGATAACCCACGAACCTGACGTCATTTCAGCCGAAGTTTCTCTTCGGGTGTTTTCGGCAAGAAGCATTGATTCGGGGAGGGAGAAATCAGCTGTTAAACAGTAAAGTAAAACAGATGATTTAAGCTTGAACAGACCACAGACAGCCAAGTTCGGAAAAAAACAGCGTTGCCTGCTAAAAAAAATGGAAACTAAACTAACAGTGAGATTACGACTACGAGGCATATGATAGGTATAAAATAACCTAAACTAGGTAGAATGCTAGGTAGAAACTAGGTAGAACTAGGGTACTTTCTATCTATCTAGCTTCTGCTATGATGCTTGTATTGATCAACCATCGTCACCTTAAATTGTTGAGGTTAAAATTAAAATGTTAAAAGTTTGAGCTTAAAAAGTGAAATTTGATATAATAGGCCCTAATACTTGGCCAATTGACAAGAGTTAATACGTAATCAAAGAAAGTTTTGACATTTTCAGCTGAAGAAACAATATGGCTTCTACAGTTGGAAGGTTAGCTGCTTCAGCCACTGTCAGGGCTGTGAAAAGGAAATTTCCTCCAAGAGCAGCTCTTGTTTTGGTGAGTTTTTGCGTTTATTAACTTAGGCCTAATTAGGTTTAGGAGAAGAGATCATTAATGTAGTTGGACCTAACATACTAAAACTCATCCTGAATTGATTTGAAGCCCATTGAAAACTTAGGTCACAGGCTAGGCCTACATGTTGTTCTCAAGTTCAAAGCAAGAAGCAAGTACAGTAATAGATTAGTAAATGACACCGAGCTAGTAGTTACATTAGTTGACACTTCAAAATCTAACTGTAATATTACCAAAACGTCTGATGCTTTCCTTAATTTTTATTGCAACATGCCCTTGGTTAGCTAACTTGTGTATTTGAAATGTTTTGGAGGTAGGCTACAAAGTTCACTCTACCCTAAATGACTCTCTGGCTTTGGAAAAGGTAGGCCCTACAAGGTTGATAAGCCTAATAACGATATTTGAAATATAATTTAGTAACTTATTTCTGAACTTTCTGGACTTAGCCTATCTTCTAACTTTTCAAACCCTTCATACACCATTCCTACGATCCTATTAAACCATAAAATAATACCTTTAAATTATGTTTTAAAGGCACGGAATCGCCAAAATTGCACAAATATACGGGATACTTTCTTAAGGTGCGGAGCACTTTGCACACCTAGGAACAAGAAGTGAAGTACCGGTACTTGTACCTAAAATACAGATCTACTTCCGTTGAAACTGAAACAATGAATGATCTTATTTAGGCATGTGGGGAAGGCAGGTCGGGTTTGTGTGGGTTCGTGGTTGCATTTATAAGTGTTTTGAAGTTAGGTTGGATTAAGAAGGTAAAGTGTAGGTTAATTATAGGTGATCTTGTTTATTGATGTTACATCATCCATATTGTTTTTAATTTTTTGGAATACTTAGTTGATTAAGGGGATACGCCACTATCTGTAGGCCATATTTTATATTTTTTTTACATTTTCCAAAAGTTGCATTTTTAGATAGGTCATTTAAATGTGAACATTTAGCTAAAATTGTTTGCCAATCTGACAACTCCTTCTAGTATAAAAAAAATAAAATATAAAACGCCGCAACCAGCAATTTAACAAAATTTTGAACTATTTTTTTTTGTTCCTGATATGTACACTTTTAATTGTGTATCATAATTATGTATTATGGAGTTATAAAGTAGGGTACATTTATTTAAAACAAAATAGGTAAGTACTTTGCTATTTTTATATATAATATAAAATAATAAGTTAGTGTAGTTATGGGAATTTTTCTCCTGTCAACCACCTGTTACATCACCTGCGATTATCTCAATACCGTGTTTTTTAGGTTATTATTGTACAAAAGTTTGAATAACTCCGTTAGTACTATACTTATAGTATTCAAATTTTCACCAGACCTTCTTTATATAGTAATAAAGGATTGTGTGTATAGTAAGCCCTATAGCATTACATTTACTAAAAATATTTATGTTTACGCAAAAATTTTAAATATTTTTTTCAGCATTTTTATTTTTTGAATAAAAGGTGTCCTAAAAATTTTGTTTTTTTAGTTACCATAACGATTATACACAGAAATACTCATTATTTCATCCTGAATCAGGAAATAAATAGAATATGTCATTCCGATCAGTAGTTGAAAAGTTATTCTCAATAACGACTTCTTAAAAATGTTGGTGAAAAAAACTAAAAACGCATATAAATTTAGTAAATAAGTTATAAATTCAATATTTTTGTACCTAAATCTTCTAACTAAGTCTAGTATAATCAAAATATACTAACTAGGTTGACAAAAATAAAATAATAAAAAAAAAGTTGGAGATAGTGGCGTATCCCCTTAAATGATAATTAAAAGACAATTTAAAAACTGCTTGTAAGCAAAAAACAATATGGATGTTTAACATCAATAAACAACCCGATCGCCTATAACCTACACTTAACCTTATACCTACTTAACCTAACCTACCTTCAAAGGACTTAATTTAGTCACGAATCCACATAAACCCCGCCTGGCCTCCCCATAAGTTATGCCTTTTCTCTTATGAAACCGATTCATGAAATCATACAGTAAGTTTGGTTAGGTTTTGTTAATTTAGAACATTTCATTTTTAAATCAAAGCATTAACATGACTTAAGTTAGGCCTAATCAATCATAATAAATTATGATCAGCTGGTTACACTTAAAGCAAGAGTAAGCTGAGTAAGTAACTTAGTCACCAGTCCGTATCACTCCGCTCCGTGTTCCTTGGTGTGCGATTTGCTCTGCTCCTTGAAAAGTGATTCCGTATTTTTGCAATTTGAAGTGGTTTCCGTGCCTCGAAAAAATGTTTTAACTCAAAGGTTACTTATTTTATCGTTTATTAGAATCGTAGGAATAATTTTGGGAAGGTTTAAAAGAAAAGTCCAGAAAGTTCATATTTTATTTATCAATACGTAATTTACTTAACAGAGCAGTAACAACTGCTGACATTTGTTACATTGGGCATAGGTAGGCCTAGTTAGTGGTCTCGTAAGTTGATTTATATTAGCCTATATAATTATGAATATCTAGATGTTATTTCAACTTAGTACCCTTTTATAACTTAAGAACTAAGGTAGGCTAATGATTTCGAGGCCTGTCATCTAGTGGTACAGCTAACACAAGCTTGTTCTAGAAGGTGACAAGGGTCTCATCTTGGCGCAATCAATGTGTAAAGATTTTTTGTGATATTACTAAGTTAAGGAATACATGTGATACCTACTCAAAACATTTAGATTGTTTATACCACTCGAGGCATTTCAATTGTATTTTTGCTTAGGGAGAGGTTCTTACCGAGAGGTTTTAATTTTTTTAACCTAACAAAATTTGGTGATTGTTTCGGTTCAGCACAGCATGAGCATAGGCCTAATTTCTCTCGTATTCGTCTAAAAGAGATCCGAGAAGTCCTTACCGAGACACTTTTAACAAGATGTTCACGGCAATTGTTTTGTTTAGTACGGCATTGGCAATAAGCATCTAATTTCTATTGTATCTGCCGGGGATTGTACCCCAATGAGGGATCTTTCTTACTTAAAACACGAGGAAAGTTTATGGATATTACTTTCTTTATCCATGAAATAGTGACATACCACAATAAATTTGGCTTAAGCAATAAAAACTATTCACAATATATTTTATAAACTACCTAAATGTCTGTGGGCTACGTGAATCAAAATGTTTATAGCAAGACTGAAAGTTCTCGTAGTGTTATGTTAACATTTATTAGGTAGGTACTGAAAAATAATTTTCTATTGCTGTTGACACTACGGAGTGATTTTTTTTTTTGTCCTTGAACACTAGGCACGAGCCTAGAATTGTTTTTCACATTCTAGACCTAGGGATTGCGGCATTATCACTTGGATAAAATCCATTGGTGACTTGGCGGGGATCGAACCCGGGACCTCAGGCGCTCTAACAACTACGCCAGCTCGCTCCCCCGGGGAGCGTTTCATAAGGTCCAAATTTCACAAAGTCCAACGTTTAAAATATTAAATAAGCAGAGCGTTTCACAAGGTCCAAATTTCATAAAGTCCAAAACTATAACATTCAAATAATCACCGTTTCATAATGTCCAAATTTTACAAAGTCAAACGTTAATATATCAAATAAACAGAGCGTTTCACAAGGTCCAAATTTCACAAGGTCCAACGGTACAGTCTGGGCCAGAAGTCTCTACAGTGGTTGCCCCAGTCAGATAGCAGGCACCGTCCGCCGGCGCTCAACTACTGATTACTGACGCGCATTTAATGATTGAAGAACACTTATCTGTGTGACTGAACTATGTGTTAACACATTAATGTGCAAATCAAATTTACATTTTTATATTTTTAATACCTTTAATTCAAGCTTTCAACTGAGTTTCTTAACTGTTCCGTCTCTCAATTAAAAATACATTAAAAATATCGGAAGAGATCATTTTACCGATGAAAAAATTTTAAACGTATAACTATGTTTTATAAGTATATTTTCTAATTCGTATTATCATAGATTATCCTTTAATCTATGGTAGGCTATTATTTAAGTTTGAATCATATGGTTAGTAAATTGTTGTATTTCGTGTTTTGTTAAGTGTTTTTAATAAAGTGTTACGACGGAATTTATTGAAACTGTGAGTGTAAGGGAAAGCCAAGTTTGGATTATAATGGAAATGGATGTTCTTATCGGATATATCAAGAAAACAAACTTATGGAGAATAAAAAAAACTGTTGTGGTTTGCTTGCTTATGAATATACAGGGTGCGGCAAAAGTCAGTATACCGAAAAAGCAGTTAAACTGTAGCTAGCATTAAACATAACTCTAAGAGTATAATTTTAATGTACCTGTTAGAGAAGGTGCTCAAAGTGACCACCATCATTGCCTATACACTTGTAGCACCTTTTCAACACTGACTTACAGATTGTGTTGCATAGTTGTGGTGTGAATAAAACATCAAAATGTTTTGTTATTAATTCTTTTAAATGTTCTAAACTTTGAGGTTTCTCCGAAAACACGTGTTCTTTTAACAAACCCCACATACTGAAATCGCACGGAGTTAGGTCTAGGGACCTAGCAGGCCACTCAATAGTTCCTCTACGTCCTATCCATTCATCGAAGTTATCATTTAAAAATGCTCGAACATTTAGGCCATAGTGTGGAGGTGCTCCGTCTTGCTGCCAAATAATCGAACGACGACGCAACTGTTCAAAAGTGGGACTGTTTTCCAACTCTAAGAACACATCTAACATCCGTATAATCACGATCGAATTTCCACCAATTTTTCAAAAGAAAAACTCGTTGCTCTAAAGTTAGGTTACGATTCATGATTAAAGACACCAATAATAGAAGTTAATAATACAAGCACTACACTCACCAACTTAACTTCTCTGTCACTAGTGGCATACTAACAAAACAAACTTTCATCGATAAAGAATAAACAAAGACAAAATCAACCACGACTAGACGTCAGATTAGATAAGGAATAACACTGAGATAATAATAGCGCGAGAGATAAACAATGACGCTCACCGGCCTGCAGCGGTATACTGACTTTTGCCGCACCCGGTACTTTGATCAAATTTGGAAATGCTTTTATTTTATACTAAACTATTAGGGCCTACCATAAAAAATACCCTCCTCCCTGTTGCAGCAAACCTAAGTACGGTACTTGTTAAACTAATGCTATTTAAATAGGGAATAAATATGATCATTTTAAGGAGATATTCTAGTGTAAATCAAATAAGGGAAATGGAAATTCTATTAGTCTGCAGGTTTGCTGCAGAGGGGGTAAATACCACTACTTTACACTCTTTACAACGTATCTACGGACCCACAATGATGTTTTGTGACGCGCGGCAACAACACTAGATCGTGTAGTGCCTACATACCGAACCACGGCAACCTCTGCAGCGACTTCTGGCCGAGACTGTACCGTTGGACCTTGTGAAACGCTCTGTTTATTTGATACTTTAACATTGGACTTTGTGAAATTTGGACATTGTGAAACGGTGATTATTTGAATGTTATAGTTTTGGACCTTATGAAATTTGGACCTTGTGAAACGCTCTGTTTATTAATATTTTAACCGTTGGACCTTGTGAAATTTGGACTTTATGAACCTCAACCCTCCCCCGCTACGGAGTGACTTAAGTATTTATTCAATTATGTCAGCAGTATATGTTGTACATAATACTATTCCATAAGAAATCTAGAATAAGAAATAACTTCCGCGTAACAACTCATGAAATGTAGACAGGTTGCAGACAGATGTTTTGGCTTAAATGAATGCCACAATTAAGAGAAACATTTTGATTGTACAATCCTCTCGATAAGTAATTGAAGCAATCGATAAGCGGAAAATCTCAAGAAGGAACATTTCAATTGCTTACACATCTCGCAATCAAGCATCACTACCCTACTGGTCACTACCACTTTGAGCAAGACCTAACACAACCATGTCTACATCAAAACATCCTTTTAATGGTGAAGACTGACACTGCTATATCGTTTATTATGCAGCCGCTTCATCCATCTTTCTAATGGGTGTCGGCCACCTAGTAGCCCCTGCCTTCTGTGTGATTTTCATTTTCTAGGCTACTGTGCGTCATTCTCTCATTAAAATGATAGGCCTACTTAATGGTTATTTCAAGAACTCATTTCTAACAGGCACTACAGGACTTAAATTATAATTGACTTCAGCTGGACATCTAGCTGGATAGGTACTGTAAAGCCTCGGTCACATGAGGCTGTTGAGCAGTCGCTACTAACCAGCTGCTGGTAAATATTGCCAGCCAGCGAATATATAGGATTCACATTATAACCACTAGCCGCCAGTAAATAGCCGCTAGGTTGTAGACGTCACCTGCCCCTACACCACTCTTCTTTGACTTCTTTCGTTGTAAGGTTCATTTCTAGACAAATCATGCCGACTTTTTTTCTTTCATGAGACCAAAGCTGATTTTTAGGCTGTTTGTTAGCAATGCTACCAGTGGCTAGTAGCGGCTGCTAAACAGAGTGTGACCGAGGCTTAAGTTAAACATTGCTATAAAAAACTCGGTGAAAAATGTTTGCATTGATGAAAACTTACCTTTTAGGAAATCTGTTTAAATAGTTTAAATAGTGTAACAACTAAAAACCAAATGAATTGAGTTTCACTGTTCACTGTTTCAGACGCCAGCTGCAGTGTCAAAGATAAAGGAGATTCTTCAAGGAAAACCTCAGTTTGTGAGTAGCCAAATAATTCCTACTAGTGTACACGTTGCTCGAATTCGAGCAATTGCAAAGTATTACAGGAGTTATTTCGAAACGAATAACAGTCATATTTACAATGAGTTCAAAAGAGTCAACTCAAACATTACCGGTTGGTGTGTAACACAGACCATGTTTATCTTCGTTATTGATAAACCTAAAGCATTCCGGCCGGTTTTCTCCTTCTCAAAATGCCTCGCTGTACAGACAACACAGGTCATTGATAGAGGGCCAATTGAGAACGAAAAGTCGTTTTGGGGTAGTGTTAGGGCGCATTTGTAACCTAATAGTTGAGATTGTCCAGGGTCAGGTGCTGACTTGATGAGTTAAGCCTATTACGCGCAACTGTTCTGTAGCTACGGTCGTTATCACGATTACGCCTCCTGTCTATGTTTCGTTGTCGTCACGTCGTAGGCATTTAAAAGAAAAAAACAACAATTAAACACATTAATTATAGCTACACAAAACAACGATAAATGCACAAATTTGAGATACAACCATACTAACACGATCCGTCTTGGGGGTTATGTTTACACAAACTCAAATACTGCAGTAAATAAATGTACTCAATGCGTTTCATTGGATTGAAAAATAAAATAAATAACAGCAATTAAATTATACAGCTGATCAAAATGTAAACAATTGTGTTCTCCATAAGGATAACATGGGAACTTTCAAAGCCAATGTGGCAGAGGCCAAGGGACTTTTTCAAAAATGTAAGGCCAGTTTGCAAATCTATGCGACACGCTCTTTCCACTGACGTCAATGGATAAAATCGGTTAACAAATGGCGGAGGAGTTCAACCGACAAAGTTTCATGTAGCGTATTAATTATATAGATATTTAATTGTTGTCACTTAGCCTATAAACTAAGATTTTCCTATTTTTTCTTTGCATGTTTCACTGCCATTGACATTTTTTATGTACCCATTTGCCACCACAAAAATTATTCGTTAAGTTAATAGCTTTTGGTGTAAACCAGGGGCCAAACACCACTAGCAAAATGTTTTACTCTTGAGACAAATAAAGTGTGTAATGTTTTTGTGATTGATTTATAATTGAATTAATTATAGATATATTTATAATGGTAAATTAATGATACACTCGTAGCCAAAACAGGATTTTGGGCTAGATTTAACACTAGGAGGTCGCAGATTTCAGAGCTGTCAACTGTTGAAAAGCTTTTGGTTTACCAGCGTTATTAGTGTGGTAGACCTGATTGCAAAAGGTTAAAATACCTTGTAAGGCCTTGTTCTCCTACTCCAAGAATGGACTACACATTTAGATGTTGACATTTCATCTTCAAGCTGCCCTTAAAATTTTGAACGATGAAACTATCATTAGGATGGTCACATAATAATTAACATTAAGACACTGATGAAAAGTTGGTTACTCTCCTATTAAAGGGAACATTCATAATTATCGATGATTTCTTTTCGATATATCAATATTTTTCTTTTTCTTTACAATCCATATTACTTCTGTTTTAATATCATAAAACGCATATAAATTACAAATTTAGAAATTAAACTGTTCTAAACCAACCTAACATAACTAGCCAAACTTGATCACAGAAAACATACTACTATAACCCAGAATGCCAACCGCATGGTAAAAAGCATTAAGCGTTTTGAGAGAGCTTTGCCTGTTAATCCGTAGGCAGCGCCACCAGCGTTGCCATGCACTCAGCATAGCACAACGCTGGTGGCGCTGCCTACGAATTGACAGGCAAAGCTCTCTCAAAACGCTTAATGCTTTTTACCATGCGGTTGGCATTCTGGGTTATAGTAGTATGTTTTCTGTGACTTGATGTACCATTTCAAAATTCAGTGTGATAACAGAAAAGGCATGTGGGGAATAACAAGCAGAATTTTGAAAATGTGACAGAAAGTTTGGTTAGTTAGGTAAAGTTAGTTTAGAACAGTTCCGTTTAAATATAATATTTTTTAAATTATTTGTTGATACTGAACGATATTTATATATCGAAGTTGTCAGCTGATATGTTTCAATTCGTTAATATCGATATATCGGATCAAAAAATAAAATATCTATATGTTACCGGTATATCTAAAATAAATCATCAATAATAAATGTTTCCTTTAACACGAAAGTACTAAAAGTTGTAAGCACTTATTAACGAGTGCGCACATTACGGGTGCAGAGTCTTATTGGAGTAGAAGGATCACAAGGCAGTACTAATTTTTTAACCTTTTTACAGTTTTTGTCAACGAGATTTAAAATAAACAACACAAAATGAAGTTAGGGCTGATCAACGGTAAAGTGGTCTATGTTGTCATCTCCCCTACCAAGAGAGCATGGTAGACCGATAAGTGTACGTACACATTCTTTTTAGATTATTTTTCAATAGATAGGAGATGAATGTTTTACGTTTTACACCACTTATTGTACATGTTTTACTGTTTCCAGATTGGCTTAAAAGTGGGCGTGCAACAAAGGGGATGCAATGGACTTAGCTACACTCTTGATTACGTTGAGGAAAAGGGGAAATTCGATGAAGAGGTGATGCAAGATGGTAAGTACAGCTACAAATTTGACAATGCCACTAATTTGATTTTAATTAGTCAATTTTAAGTAGCCTAGTATGTTCACAAGATACAACTAGGGTGGTTATCTGAACATTGTTTGTTTTCTACAAAGTCTTTCGACTGTTCCTTTGTAATATTTAAATCAAGCTATAGACCCTTTTTAAAAGTTTTTTTTTTTACACCTAAAATGGTATTATAATTCTAGTTTTAGCAAATTTACCCCTACTGGGAAGAAGCTATTACCATCAGTGACATGGTAAGGCCCAAGATGTATGGAGTAAAAGAGGGGTCCCACATCTTACCAATAGTAAGATGTGTATGTAAATGAGCTGGGGAAACCGGGCCTAAGTCAAATAAAAATCAAATCAAATCATGTTTATTAGCACATAAACGTACAGAGGTTATATAGATTACTAGTGGCCTGTAGGGGCCATAGCCCCTAACTACAATAAAAACCCATATATAAAAATACAAATATTCGAAATATGTTTTTAAAATTATCAGTTTTATGTTACTTAAAATTAACAGTGTTTCTTGTTTTATATCTTGGTTTTCCTTCCGTTGGAGTCGTATATTAGTTGCTTCTGATGTGTCAATGAAAAATACAATTGGAAAATAATCTTTAAATCAATAACACAACACATTAACAAATGGAAACGTCCACACGGTTTGGCCTGAGCCCGGAGAACGACGAATCAGAGCTGAAATCATACAGCCAAACATTGTACATATTTTCTAGTTTAAAATTGAATATTTGTTTTGTAATCTTACAAATTCTGTTATAGTTTCCATTTTGAGAACCAAATGTAAAGGTTAAAATTATTATTAATTATTTTGAAACGGAACCCCGGAACCTCTTTTTGTGTAGCGGAAAGCGACGCAAAAGCCATTGCACTGTTGTATGTTTTTATGAAGTTCGAATCGTGTAAAAACAGTTCTTTTAGTTCGTCATTTACTTGTGGTTGTGGAATGTCCATTGTGGCAACATGCGTTGAAATGTCCATTTGCGGCCTCCTCTGCGAAGTGAAATGTGCCACAATGCATGCAAGTGCTTTAAAGAGGACTTAGATAGTGAGAAACAACACTCAACTCATTTCCCAGCGTTCTTCTAAAGACAGGTTGTAAAACAGCTTCTGGATTTTATTCACAGTTAGTTCTACATGACGTTCTCGTTTGCATTTCTTAAGTCTGTTGAATTCCTGGATGCTCTTCCACGTCTTGCAGGTCTTCCCCTACCCTGTCTAGTTACTTCACTCATTATAAAAACGGAAAACAAAAAAAATAAACACAATTCATTTCGAAACATTATTTACCAACATTGACTTTCGGAATAAATGTAAACATTGCAAATAAATAAGTAACAGCTGATAGAATGCAGACGCTTTTCAGTCCCCATGCATTTCTTATGGTGGATATATAACGTTTTATCCCGTTTTCTGGTAACTTTATGGGAATTCTGCTATTTTTCCCGAGTCCCTGGGGTCAAGACCTTTAATTTTCCACTTTTCTGCGACTTACCAGACGTCCAAAATTTTCTGGTAAAGATTTGGTCTTACAGAATTATATATATAGATAAGTGGTATAATATAAACGGAACACTGGTTTTAGGTTAGGTTTGAGCAAAATTGTATAAATGGTTTTTTCCCGTTCCAACCTTCCAACGTCGCTCCAATCCAATTGATTGTACCAATCTGCCATCTAAAGGTTACGAAATATGATGTTTTGTGCAAATAAGATTTGCACAGATGAATTGGAGCGATTAAACGGGCCTTTAGTAACCAACAACTAGCCAGCTTGTTGCTTTGCTTACCTTACAAGAAGTAAAGGTAGGCCAATAGATCACACACAATGTTTCCTACCCTGGGGGACTTTGTCAAGTGTAGACAAAAAGTGTTCACTGAGAGTTCACAGAGTTCAACATCGTTCTCCATGGACAAAATACTATGTGTGTTTGTGTGTTTTACGGCCTTCCTGTACTTTTTGTAGCTTTATCATTTCTCTGATGTGTTGATAATGCCAATGTTATAGGTGTTCGTGTAATCATTGACAAGAAAGCACAGCTGACTCTTCTAGGCACAGAGATGGATTATGTGGAGGACAAACTGTCAGCTGAGTTTGTCTTTAACAACCCCAACATAAAGGGGACATGCGGCTGCGGTGAGAGTTTCTCTTTATAACTTCACCACTTAAAGATTCTGTATACAAATCTAGTAATTAATAGAATTTTGTTCTGTGATATAGGCTATTATAGCTGCATTGGGAATGTAAATAATTTGTTTATATTTATTTTCTCTTTGTATATAGATGTGTTGAGTAAATAAAAAAGATATTTTATTTGAAAATATGTTGTTTATTCTATGCCTTCTCTGTTAGTTAATAGTTCAATAGACATAACTAATAAAATAAATCATAGTTGTCAGTTTTATCTTTAATTTTTAAGTTTGATATTGTTACGGGACATGTTTTTGTAGATTTCTAAGTACCTACCTCATTTAGTAAATAATTTTTTTGCAAAAAATAATTATTTTACGTGTTTTTTTTTAGATTTTTAATACCTACTGAAGTGAAGAGTTTTTTAATGTTAATTTGTGAGACAGAGATACAATACTGGTGTGAATTTCAAAAGTAGCAGCTTCCTCCTGAAAGGCCCTCTATTTTTTTATTGTGTGCTCTACGCCAGTGGCATTTTTATTAAAGTAAGCTTAAATACTTTAAAGGGAAAGCAGTCCAAACCCATTTAAGTTTTGTAAATGGGCCGGGAATTGAACACGTCCCTCCCGCAACAAAGGCCAAGACGCTAAACCACCAGGCTAGCAACACACCCAATTCTGATTCTTCGGCTGGCTGTAGCTTAGGGGATTTAGGGATTACATGTGGTACGATCTTCAACTCAATCCTTAGTTTTCTATGATACAATCGGCAAATAAACTTATAATTTGATTAATGAAAACAGACTTTTTATTTCTGGTTGGGTAAAAGTTTTGACCTTCACATCTAGGGCCAAAATCAAGAATTGCTTTGGAAAAATCTATTTGAATGGCTATTGCAATCGCAACAAAAACATTAACATTGGTTTCAATTAAATCGTAAGGGTCCTTGCAGTTGCCGTGAAATCAACATTTATATTGTGCACTCTCAGACATTTCCGGCTATCGGAAGAATAAAGTACAATAAATTGAAGAATTTTCACATCTTGGAAAATCTAACACCCTAACATCTTATTAGTGAATTCATTTATCAAGCAAAAATATCATGTGAGGGGGCGTTACAGAAATACGGCCCTGGGTGTGTAGTTATGGAATAGCTAGGAAAAAACTTCTCGACTGTCGTTAACACTATTTATGCGAATTGAGTATACTACTTTACCCACGACCGGTTTTTAATTACTAATTACCACACTCAAAACTTCTAAGAGAGGTTATGTTTTCGTTTTTAACATCTCATTGCCACTGACAGTGATGCAACGACTCATTGTACCAATCACTATAATTGCACCAATGTTAACAATTAAATTGGTAAACAGCTGATTAGTTGAAGTTTGAAGCATTACAATTTTACTTCTTCTCTCTCAAACTTGGAACCCCATTGGTCCATTACCAGTGTTGTTATGTAAAACTATGCTGTTATGTGAGTAAACAATGCTGTTATGAGAAAATTCTAAGAACTGAACTGAAACGGCTACTTAAAAAAACGGTCGGTGGTAAAAATCTTAAATTTGGAAAATCCTGAGTCTTGGAGCTATCGTAAGCGAGTATTATATCATGTAATTTTTAAGGTTTGGATGCAGCATGGAATAAAATTTATGAACTTGAAAATACAATATTTATTTAAATATAAACTTACAAATGTGCAAATTACAAACTTTTACAGGTACTCCTAGAATTATTTTATAGAAGTAGAACACAATGTGTACTGTATTAAAGCAACTAAATATAGCTTTACAAATAAATAAATCAATGTTTTATTTTGCAAACATTAGTTGCAGTCATATGAGTGAAACCTAAAAAGTCATGTTCTATGATAGAATACTGAATCACAGCCGATCAAATAGCAAAGAAACCATGTCTCATTTTGATGAGATTAAAATCAATTGTGTCAGTGACTATAAAACATTTACTTTAAGAGGCACATTTTCAGTTATAGGCTATTACAGTTTATCTTACAGTTTTACCATTGAGTATACATGTATAAGAAGGGACAGATAAAGCTAATATTTGTTACCGAATTTGGTGACGTAGTTTGGGCCGCTGACGTTTGGGTCGCGGTAGTCGGTCGGTAGTGCAGTGCGCCTATGAGGACCCTTTAATAATTTAGTATTTAAAATAAAATGCATTATAAAACAACAAAATTACCAATATCGTTTGTTACAATATCAAACCAACAAATTTCATTTAGAAAAATGACATTTTACAGCCTACAATGAACGTAATATTTAAAAAAATCAACCAAACTGCATTACCGACATACACGAGGGGGAGTAGTTCAGACCGCTGAAGCTACTGTGTTCAGGTAACCATAGTCGTAGCCTCCATTAGTCTACTCTAGTAGGTGTATATTCAATGGTTTTACATATAAATAGTTTTTGGTATTTAAAGCAAAGCTGGCATTTACATAAATTCATAACCAGTTGCATAAGCTATGGTTAAGGTTTTCGTAAGGGGATTAATTTCAGCTCGTTTACCTGAGAAAATAAGTAAGCCTAGTCCAGGCTGCTTATAGAGTCCCACAACATAACAGTGATAATATCATCGTAGAAGACTTCTTCTACGATGATAATATCACTATGGATTGCTAATATAAATTAAATAAATTGAATCCTATAAATTGTGAATTAAAAAATATCATATACCTGCAATTAGCAGTGAACATGTTAAAGATCTCTAAGCACTATTTAGCATCTAATTTCAAATCTTTATAATTTTCTCAAATTAACTAGCTGTACTCCTATATATACCTTTATTGATAACCTTGTTATGTATAAGCCAACTGTGGGATTTAGGCTACTCCTCAACTAAGAGTATGGTCTGATTAGAACAACTTAGGTTGGTGTTTCAATGCGGACACGTCCAAAATCTTAGAGGGTGGTCTTCCATTTCTCATCTTTTGACTCTTCTGTGACGGGGGCGTCTTCTCCTTTTTCTTAGATTCTTTCTTCTTTTTCATTGGTTGTTTGAAGAACATTGGGTCTGAAAAAAGACAAAGGTTGAAACTTGAAACACACATTAATAATGTTATTATTAGCCATATTAATCCAGACCTAATTTCCTGTACAACTTACCAAGAAGTTTTTGGCTGTCATTCTCTGGTTGTATTCAAACAGTCGGCCTCTAACACTGGCATGCCTTGCAATAAGCTCATGTAGTAGTATCCGCACTATACTCTTAGCAATATAGGAATGCCTCTGAACATATCAATGTATTTTACCTGGCATTCAGGGGCACTCCCATATTACTTTTTTGTCCTAGGACGCTAGGCACGGGCTTGGGATTGTTTTCTATATTAGCTTACTTCAGACTAAACTCTAAGGGGTGCGGCATTATCACTTACCCAGGACCGAAGTCCTGCACTCTAACAACTAGACTTGCTCGCTTCCAACTTCCACATTGCTAATGGTATACTTTAAATAGCCTGTATAATCTCGCTATTATTAACAAACATTAGTTGGAAATTTTAAGTATTCATGTCAAGTTTAGTTCTACAGTAGACTCTCTCTTATCTGGATACCTTTTAACCGGACATCGGATTAACCGGACTACACTCGGCGGAAATGACATCTGTTTAACCGGACAATTTTTATCAGCACATTGGTTTAACCGGACTAGATCGGCAGGAAGTGGGCAGTACTGAAACGACTGTTCTTGTGGGAAAGATTTGAGACCAGTGATCACGTGTCTAAATACAATGCTCTCCTAAATTTAAGTCGAATATCACAGTAAACAGTCCGTTTTAATGAGTTTTTGGGGACGTCGGTTTAACCGGAAAACCCGTTATCCGGACTGGCCTCGGTCCCGTACTGTATCTTATCACTTGTTAATTATTGACTACAATTATGAAGGCCCCGGAATAAGCAGTAAGTTAATATGACAAATTCATTCATTCATCCAGAAAACTTGGAACTACCGATTATTCTGTGTTTATAAAAAGGTAGTTTTGCAGGCTAAGAGATTGCATAATAGTAATTTTATTATTAAATCTTGTAACAAGAGTTAAGCTATGTGGGGAGTTGTTAAAAAAGAACTGGGCATTCAAGTAAAAACGGAGACTACTACTAAAATTGATGTTGGGGATAGGGTGATAAATGAACCCAAAGAAATTGCAGAATATCTTAATGTTCAATTTTCCAACATAGAGGAAATATTAAATGTGCCAAATGTCTCTTTCATCAATAACAAGTACATCAGTCAAAACTCTTTAGAATCAGACAATACAGATAAATTACAGTTTTTGGCTTTTACCAACAAATTTGAAGTTAAAAATGCTATCTTAAGTTTAAGTAATAGTAATTCTTGTGGTTGGGATGAGATTCCCACTAAATTATTGAAATTGACTGCTGACATTAATTCTGATATTATAGCTAGACTCATCAATCAATCATTTAGTGAGGGTGAATTTCCAGACTTGCTAAAATTGTCTGAAATCAGACCAATAAAAAAAAAGGCACACATAATAATAGTCAAAATTACAGACCAATTTCTTTACTCAGTAATGTATCTAAAATTTTTGAAAAAATTATTCATCTTAGAATTGCAAATTACCTGGAATGTAACTCAAAACTGTGTCAAGAGCAGTTTGGTTTTAGAAGAAATCTAAGCACACATAATGCTCTTTTTACTTATATTAGTAGTGTCCTTGAAACTCTGGATCAGTCACAGTTGACTGCAGGAGTTTTCTGTGACTTATCCAGGGCTTTTGACTGTGTGGACCACAGGTTGCTGCTGATCAAATTGAAGAATATTGGCTTGGAGGGAATGGCACTAGAATTATTACGAGACCTATTCAATCGAAAGCAGCGCACAATAGTAATAAAAAAATCAATAAAATATTATTCTAACTGGGCCAGCGTTACATATGGTGTTCCCCAAGGTTCTATACTTGGGCCTTTATTATTTATTATATTTATTAATGACTTGCCTAATTGCCTTTCCACAAATTCCTGTGCTTTCACTTTGTATGCCGATGACACAACTGCTCTTTTAAAAAGAAAAACATTAAGTGAACTTAAATTAACCTTTGACAGCACAATTAAACAAATCAATGAATGGTTTGAGAGCCATGGCCTGAAATTAAATGAATGTAAAACTAACATTCTTCAATTTAAACTCAGAAA